TCCGGCTGTTCCTGATGTGGTTTCATTTCACCAATCTGTTCACCTGCTACAAAGGGGCTAATTGTGATAAAGTTTTGTGACTTATTCCTTCTATCGCTGCAAAACCTTGTCAGGCAGATTAGCAGGGCTTTTTATTCAAATTGACAGAAAGGATACAAAGATCAAGAGGTCTCAGGGTATCGCAACAAATACAGAAATGAACCAATTCAGCTGAACAGCAGAGGAAAGTCTTTATACTCAGGCATGCAAATGGGCCATAACAAAGTTGCACCCACTTATGTTATCTCTTCATTTGCCATCTGACTTATGCTTAGTCCTTGTGAACTGTGTAACCATGCTGAAATCAGGTTAAGTGGTTCATTTGGTGCACCTTTTCTTTGCTATTATAGCAGGAAGGTCTTCCCTGCCTCTCCACCCCAAAAGGAGCTGGGAACATAACTGAGGCAATTTTAACTTGGCCTTTATGTATGTGAGGTCACTACAGTACTTACTGCTAGTAAGTGGTTTTAAGCATTGCACTGGTGTTTCATTCTCCGCAAGTCCATTCGGCTTGTCTGCTGCTTCTCTTACTCTTGGGTTCGTGTGGTGAAACTGTTCTTCATTTCCTTTCGCAGACTTGAGAGTCAGCTCTTCGGTATCCTGTCCTTCACCTCTCCAGCCCTCCCTGGATGTGGCACATTGGTCAGCACTTTCCTCACTTGGTGCTGGAGTATTGCATCCATTAATACCATCTATTTTCTCGCCATCCGGAGAAGCATGATCCTCGGTGCAATTTGAAACGTTTTTATTATCTCTTGATTGCACAGAGTTGTTACTGGCGGGTGTTGGGGAGGCGCTGACAAGACAGTTCTTTTGGGAATGGTACTGAGGTATAATTCCAACAAATTTCAAGCCTTGACTTGCAGCCTCTTGAATCTACAAGTCAAAGAAGATTAGATTTTTAACTGTCAAGCTGTCTTAGCTAAATAGAAATACAGAAAATAACACCCTTCAAGGTAGCTAGCATGTCATTTTGCTACTTTTGTCCACTACTACAGGAAATTGTCATGTTATATTTACATAAAAGGTTACATTCTGGAGAAGCAGGATGAAGTTCCCTAAACCGTCTGAAATAATGTGAAAGTGGAGAAAAAAAGAAAAAAGGGGGAAAAAAAAAGAGAGTGCAAATGTCTACATATTTCTTCACAACGGATAAGGTGTCTGTTTGAAAAGTTTATTTACGCTATATTACCAGAAGTGATATTACTCACAAAAAGTTTTAGTATCAACCTTATGAAGTTAGGGACTTGTAATATTACATCTTCTGCTCCATTAGTTGTGTGATTATGGCATTTATGCAAGGAAAAGGTTATTAATTCTCTCTGTTATATGCACCATTATAACAACAGTTGTTGTTTGTCCTATTTTGGATTGAGACACAAATGGTAAACTTTCACATAATGAGTACGTAAGAGCAAAGCTATTTTAATACATCACTTTTGGGAAGATACAGAATTTGGAACAGAAAAAGGTTGTGAGATGAGCTAAGAAGAAAAATGGAAACTAACGGGTGCTATTATTAATCCTTTACACTTTAGGTAAAGGAGGAAAATGAAGGAATCAAATCACAAAAGATCCTAAAAAAAAGCATTGGGCTAGTAGTAATGACAATTAGATAAAGCCGGAATTAACTAAGTAAGGACTGAAACGAAGCAGAAACAGAAATCTCTTTTAGTCAGGCCCAGCATTACAGATGCACCATCCATTCGAGTCACCAGCCTCAGACTCCTCAAACCCAGGAGAGCAAGAGCCAGGCTGCAGTGAGAGCCAGACTTCTGTGAAAACATGTGAGTATCTGCTGATTCGTTCATCAAAATCACCCACCAAAAAGGAAAGATTTCCATGTAATGTATACTCTTCATATAATATAGTCTAAACACACATAAATATTTCAAAAAGAAATGCTTTGAGAATGGAGAAATAATTTCACCTTCTCTGCAAACCATGTAATTCCAGAGAGTTAAAGTGCCTTAATTATTCTCTGAGGCTTAATTTAGTATCAGCTTATGTGAAACAGTTCAGGTCTTTTTTCAATAGGAAAAAAAGGAAGAAATTTTGTACAACTTTTTTTTTTAATTTAAGAGGAAGCTCATTTCTGCATCTTATCTTCCCTACCCAGATTTTTTCTTTTTTAAATGAATCATCTACTTCCTGGTAACATGTTACTGTTCTGAACACACAAACCTACAGATGATACCTGATCAACAACAAGAACTTCCTCTTTCAAGGCGCTATTACATTTTCCATGTTAAATGAACTCTTGATTTTGTGATCACAGAAACTTAAACAGAGCTCTCCAGGAAACAAGGCAATGGCCTTCACAGGTGTTTAGCCTGGTGAACACAGGATGCTGACTTAACTGAAGCTCATTGCTAAGAGGACAACAACCTTCAAATAAAAATACTACTAGCAGTATCCTGATGTAATGAATATCTGTCTACAAAGAAAGTTAACACGTAACTAGCTTGCTCAGAAAGGTTTAAGTAAATGTCAATGATAGATGCATTCATAATATGCTTAATGGTCCTGATTCCCTGTTGTAACCTTACAAATACTTTTTTATACAGTCAATGATAAAGTTACAAATTCAGTTAATCTCTTATCACTAATCTACAGACACACCACTACATTTGTTTAGTAGGCTGCAGGGCAGCTAATTATAGAAATTGAACTAGTATGCAACTGTTAAGAGCTTGAGGATAGTACGTATGTAGTAATTTTACTGGTCCTAGTCAATAAGGACTGCTTGTCAATCTATACCAGACTCTCCCACGCTGTGATTTGGATAAGAACAGCTTTCACAGCTATTGCAGCAGTATTTTACAGTCTTTGTTCACTCAAAAAAAATGTGTTTGTTTTAAGGTGTACCTGATGCTGAGGTTTTTCTTCTGAGGTTTTTGTTCTCAGAATGGAAATAGGAGGACCTATAAGGACTGAATGATAGTCTAAGCCATATTAGCTTAATAGTTTAGCAGAAAGATTAGAAAAAGAGACTGTACCTTCAAGGCCCTTTCCCAATAAGTTAATTGGTAGTATACAGAATACAAAATCTTATTTAAACCTGTATTTCAAACTTTCACAATTACATAAGGGAGAACAAGCATCTCATTATTTTCAATAAAGCCAATTTAGCAGGAAATGTTACATCAACAGTGCAATATAAGCTGCAGAACAGCAAAGTGATGGATCAGCAGACGCAAAGTCTTCCTTTCCAATTTTCCACAGAACCATGAAGAGGCTGGCTCTCATCATAAATAAAGTATAAAGCCTGAACATTTTCAAACTACAAAGACAATTTGATTTTTCAGCATCCTGTTGAGAGCTTAAATAGTACAAAATTTTAGTTGCCTTCACGGCCAGAATGAATTATGCCATCCAATATACATTCACATTTCCTGTTTCCTGTATTTGAAATATTGAATATTTGAATTCTAAAAACCAAAAACCCAGACTTAAACAAACCCAAACCTCAGTACCCCAACAGGTCGTGCCCAGGAGCTACACACAGCAGAAGGGTTTTTCTGCCAGCCAGCTGTGGTTTTTGGACCCTTTAAGGCATCCTGCGCTGGTACACACAGACAGGTATGTCTGTTCCAGCTTTTCGGGAAAATATCTTAGATGCGCTGCTGGGAATCAGTAAGAGGGCAACACATGGGAGAAAGTGGGGGTAAAGCTGAACTGAATAGGAAGAACATGATGCTGCTCTGCCAGGGTCACCCAGAACATATTCCAGATCAGATAAATACTGCAGTTACTTGTCTTTATGTGACACTTTAGAGTACCAACAAAGAGTACTAACAAAGGTCCTCATTATACTATGTTGTATGACTAAGTGAGAGGAAAAGCATTAAAAGCAGAACAACTGCATCTCCACCACTTACCACATTAGAAGAAAAGCTAGCTTAAAAATGCCCTTCCATTAGGTGATCCATACTAATTTCAATTGTTTTACTGACCTTTTGTGTATTTTAAATATGCTGCTTACTTGCTCTTTACATCTTAGGAAATTTTTTAAATGGAAATTCCAACAAAATTTAAAATGAAAAAAAATTTGGTTTTTTTTTCCCCAGATAGGAACAGAAACATTTCTATTGCCTCATAAAGTCCTGCTTGGATGATATTAACCACAAATACAAGAACAGGTCTCCATCACAAAAGATGTTATTCAACAACAGAAGCAGAACTTCACTCATTTATTTCAATCTGGATAAAACCCCAAGTGGGTATATCCAAATTCATTTATAACTGGCTTGCAACAAATTGGATTTATGCTAGTTTAAAAATAGAACCTGCTTAAAGATAGGGTGAAATTTCATGTGTACAGAGGGCCAAGGCAGTTAAAGAATTTAATGTCATCCCTATAATTTGCTTGATTAGAAACCTGGCATTTTCCCTGAGGGGAAAAAATATGACAGATTTAGCCTTTGCTATCTGTGAAATAAATATCAAATCTCCCACTAACTCTAGCAGGAATAGGAACAAGCACTGTGTCCAACCCCAATGTCACTACCTTAATTGAATTTTAGCTGGGGCACTTGTGTTAACATTCTTAACATTTGTGAAGTGTTATTGTTTACTTCAGAACTGACTGACCGCTATTTTTATACTGCATTTGCAAAAAAGGAACCAGCAGCAGCACAAAGCAGTGTCTCGAAACCTTATGTTGATGTAGCAAATTTATGTCCCATCTTTTTAAATACTTCTGGTTCCCTTGAAGGCTCCCTACCTAATTAGAAAATGGCTGACAGTCCAATTTAAAGATCTGTAAAACCACACCTGGCAACAGTATGGCTGAGTGATGAAATTCATTTTTCTGGAAACTACTTGTTTTTAAACTATAGGCCTCACAGCCATGAAAGAAGCGCAGAGATTCCAAGTTCAAACCTCATTTTGAACAGTCACATACAGGTTTTCTTTTCAAATCTATTTAGAATAAACACACTTGGCAAGTTCATTGTACAGTCCACATATCATCTGCGATCCTGCGTTTCTTGTTGCATTATCAGCACCATAATAATCTCCTATTCATAGCGAGCATGATGGTACTACTTATAAATACAGAAACTCATGGATATAGATCCCATGGTGAACAGAATCACACACTTTTGTCAGCTTCGGTAATTGCTTACAGGAAGATTCTGTACATTTCTCCCATGGGGTGGCACACAGCAAATCAAACACTTCCCGCAAGCTCAGGTTAGTATTCCACCCACATCAATAAACATGGGAAATAATGCACAGCAATTTAATAATGAGGATCTCTCTCTTGGATAAGTATTTTCAAACAAATGATTTAATAAGACAAATGTTAGGAATTTCTCTCAACTCTTGTATGCCAGGAGCTGGACATTTTTGGGATGCATCCAGAGGAAAGGCAGTTTTGCTAATGTCATCAGCGCACTCCAGTTTACAGCAGTTCTAAATGATCTCAAGGCTTACACTTCCTGATGGTCTGGAAAAAAAACCCTTCAAAACCTAGGCATTAGGACTGAAAATTTCATTAATAGGTTCGCTATATGGTTCATGATATAACAAAGCAGTGAAAGAATGTCGTAGCAACCCAGTAAAGGGGACTGCATAGAAACAATTTATGAAGAGCATACACAGTAAAAATGCACTTGGAGAAAGGAGAACATTCTCTAGGAGCAATGAACTGATTTTCTGATGGTCAGATGCACTGAGTTAGCTCTGCAGTGAACTAAGGGAAAGACTGCTACTTAGCCCTACTGATGGCCAAACACATGGCCTTTGAAACAATTGCTGGTTAATTTTGCTCAGAGCTATCTGTTTAAACCAAGCATAAACTGTCTCAGCCAATAAAAGAAACGCTTGTCTGTCTGTCTGTTTATTTGGTGGTAGTTTTTAAAAGAACAACG